TAATAATAATAATAATAATAATAATAATAATAATAATAATAATAATATTTTATTGTCATTGTATGAATATACACAGTATACACATACAACAAAATTCACATAACACCCAGAGACCAGACCCAAGACACACACACACACACACACATGACAATCCCCAAACACACCCATCTACCAAAGTTCCCTGCCCCCTAAAAACATGCAAGCATCCATGCAACAGACCAAGTAATACTGTCCAACAGCTCACTGCTGATGGTCCTTAAGTTCATTGTTAAGTGCAATTATAACTCTGGGATAAAAACTGTTCAGAAAACGTGTGGTCGGAGTTTTAATTGTTCTGTATCTTCTGCCAAAAGGCAACAGTTCACAAAATTGTGGGCAGGATGGGAAGAGTCTCTGAGAATGTTGTGCAACTTCCTCAAATGGCAAGATGCGAAGATGTCATCCAGGGCTGGTAGCTGGAGCCCGATGATATTCTGGGAAGTTTTAATGATTCTCTGTAGAGCTTTTTTGTCTGCTACAGAGCTGCTCCCATACCATGCAAGAATGCGATATATCAGAACACTGTCAATGGTGCTGCAGTAGTAGGACAGAAATTGACGCTGAGATAGATTTATCTTCCTGAGCATTCTCAGGAAGTACAGCCTCTTCTTTGTGTCTTTGGTAGCCCATCATCCAAGTTTTACTTAGCTTTTTCAAGATCAGTGTTTGTATACTCTTTGAGGCCCTTCTTAATTTTGTTTGTATCAAAGCCATAGTTTTATGTAAGTCTGCCTAACCTGAGGTGGAAAATCCAAGGGCCCACTATTTGGCAGCAAAATCCATTTTCTCTACCTCCATACAGCCCTCTTGTAGTCATCTGAATTTTTGCAGCCAACATATAATATTATAGTAAAAAGGAAGTTATATTTTCAATTACAAGACTTTTTTCCCCTTTTTTTCAAAATAAATCTTACACATATCCAACACTTTAATAAGAATTTCCACCATCAGGACTGAACTCTGAGGAAATATGGTAGAAAGTAGTCAACTATTATTTGAAAGACCCACATTAATTTCCTCTGTGATCGGAAACTCTTACACTGTTCCTAAGAGCATCAAAATACCTCGGATAAAATGTAAAAAACAACAACAGCTTATTCACCTTGGTTTTCCTGCCATCTGCTGTGGTTTCTTGAAATTCTTGACCCAGCTTAAATGTGACTTGTGTGTTTTTAAAGGTACTTTCTGTTCTGATTGTGACCTCATCACCCTTCATGCTGATGATGGTCTTAGGTCTTGCCAAGTTACCGAGTTTCCTAGTCGCCAATCCCACTCCTATGGAACACCAAGAAAACAGTAGTCATTCATTATTCATTTGACAAAAAGTGTATGGGGAGGGGGGGGGTTGTATTATGCAATCATTTATGCCAATTATCTCAATTACCTGCACTCATATTTAAATTCATATTTAAATAACAGCATTTATTTGTGTTCCTAGTAAAACAAATATACATTGCTGTGAATGACATACCCTCCCTAAGGATGGAATTTCCATATTCCACAGTGATGGTAAGGAACAGCTGGCAGGGGACAATGGGAATTGTGCACCAATATGGTGTACCTGGTTGAGAAAAGCTAAAATAGTAGCATCAAATGAATAATAAAATTAAATGAAGAAAAATGGAAGCTGAAGCAGGAAGAACTGCTTTTCTGTGATATTTTCTCTATATAAAGAGTCAGTTTCCAGAAGAAATTTCAGTCCTGTGAGGAAGCACAACCAGAAGTACTAACTGTATCTTTATTGCCACATTAACAGACTCTTGCAATACTGAAGGTATGTCTCTTTACTTTTACTCTCCAGAAAACTAGGGTCCCTTTTGAAACATTAACCATACTCTTCCTTCTTTTGTACGGGGCTGAAGCATCTTCCACATGCTGGTTGTGGAGTCTGGAGCTATCCCTCCTATCTCGTAAAGTTACTTTCACCTACCATTACATCAACATGCAAGATCTGATTTTAGTTATTGAGTCTTCTGCACTAGGTGTGTGCAACTGTATGTGTACAGGGTGTGTGTGCACTGGATAAAAACTTACTGTATTTCACATATTACCTCCAGTATGATAACCACATTCTTTCTTTGATGTTTGCTATCTGATGATGCCTTTACGAAGATGAATAATTGCTCGGTATGACAGGTACTTCTTTTTTTCCCCCAGAGTTTTTTATTTTTTATTTTTTACACATCTCTTCATGTGAGCAATGTGATTTCATATAACAATATTTATATATAGTCATGGTTACACTTTCAATTTTTTAAATTAATATCACTTCAAATTATTATCAATTTGACTAATATTTAGATAAATTTCCTTTTCATATTTCAATTCATTAATTCAATGTCAGAATCATTTCATCTTCACATATATTTTCAATTCTTTATCCCCTATTATTTCCATTTTCAGCTTACCACCTATTTTATGTTACCTTATGTATTGTTAACATCTATAACTTTCACAAGACCAGTATATAATTGACAAGTACTTCTTGATGATGTGGAAATAAAGCATATGTGGGCTATACAAATCCAGATGACTATCTGATGACAGCAAAAAGATATAGAAAAGTCTAATGCTCAACTGCCATTTATTAGCCATGTGGATATTTGCAACCCAATGGTAAGCTCATCACACATCATCTTTTTTTTTTTTCAAAGTTGCATTTTCATAGGTTAAAAAAGTAGTCTGGAAGCAGATCTTCTTAAGTATACTGATTGTACAACAAACCAAATTAACATTCTATAGTAAAACAAATGGTAATTCACATAGTTCTTTCTTGTTAAATATTTTACTTCATGTTCAAAAACAATACAATATAATTGTATTGTATTGATGTGTGCATTTGTATCCATACAGTGCATGTGCATCAGGGAGAAATATATATATATATATATATTTCATATTTAACACTTAAACAGCAAATATTCATATTTAATCCAACTAAGCTTCCTTAAAATATAGTTCTATGAACAAAATAAACAACTAAATTATATTCTTGAGATATCTGACTTCATCAGTTAAAAGCATTCACTGATGGAGGCTTTTATTCTGCCAATAGAGATATTCCTGCAATTTCTGTACAGCAAATAATTTTATTTACAGTAAAAACTGGCTATCAGTAAATTTAGGATTATTTAAATTGATTAGCTACCCAGCTCCAATGGACTCAGATGAAGTTTTTCCTTATTCCATCATGAATAATAACTTGGAAGTAGCAGCAAGTAACATATTCATCTAATACTATAATAAAAGCTAAGTAATACATTCTATGAAGGCTATTACCAAAGAAGAAATTTAAAAATCCTTGTGTTTTCTGATATTTATTTTGAAGAGAATTAAGTTCTGATGAGAAATCAACAATGGATAATCTGCAACATTTTAAAAATCAAATCAAGATAAATCTCACCTAATTCTTTCATGTAATCATCAAAATTTTCACTAGAGATGAGTTTCCAGCTTCCCACAAATTTGTTGCACATAGTTTTGCTGGTCGTGTGTCCTTGGGAGAAGAGCAATGACAGAAGCAATTTTTAGGACGAGGCAGATGAATGATATGAATGGTAATATCCCAGCCACATCTTTTAAAGAGAGACCTAGGACATGCAAGGCTCAGCACCTCCCAATTCAGAAGGCCAATTCCAGAGGCCAAACAATGGGCCCTTGTGCCATACCATTCATGCTAGTACCAAGACCAGCAGCATTTGCCTGCCACCAACTCCTCCGCAATAATACAAAGAGGAAGGGTGATGGGCATGAATTTGCTCCTATTGTGCTGGAGCACAGATGCAACACAGTGCTCTTGGGAAGGACAGCATTTGATTTTCAGGAAGGTCTTATGACACTGTCTTATGAGGATGAGGAATAAATTTAATGTAGCCATTAAGGAAATAAATACAGATGAAGTAGTGTTTAGGATAAGAAAAAAGCTGTGTGCTATAGGCAAGAAACTGATTCCCAAATTCCTTGCATTATCAGAATGTCAACATACTAGGAGGTCTTAAAGTTATTTCAGAATGTTGAAAGTATAGTGCTCTATTGCAGCGGTCGCCAGCTGGTGAGCTGTGAGAAAATTTTGGTGGGCTGCAGAGAAATCTCATCACCCCAGAGCACCCCCCCAAAGCAATTAATCCAGGCTGCGCAGAAACAAAAGGCTGCGCAGCCCACATGGCCTGCGGGAACCCTCCCTGCCCACTCACTCCTTACTCGGCAAACTTGCCTGTTAAACAGCTCTTTTTCCTTTTTCCAACCATCATCTGTTCTGATGTGCTGGGAGATTTAGATTAGCTAGGAAGCAGGAAATTGTTGGATTCTTGCTTTCTAGCTAGTCTTTAGATCTTCAGCTCTGCTTTTAAGCACAGCTGAACCTCTCTCAGAACTGAACATTATATTATTCAGTGCAGACTTGCAGCGAGCAAATTTGAGAGACTGAGCTAGCCAATGGCAGATAGATAGATCACTGAATGAATCTGTGATTCTGTGAGCAACTCAATCTGCCTGCCTGCTTTGCCTGATTTTGGGTAAAAGTTGCTCTTTTTTAATAAAAAATTCAATATTTATTTAAATATTTATAATATTTACATACAAGTCATGCCCACCCAGTCACATGACTACCAAGCCACACCCACAAATTAGGCCACGCCCACAGAATCAGTTAGTGGTCCCTGGGGTTTAAAATTATGAGTTTGATGGTCCCTGAGGTCCAAAAGGTTGGCGACTCCTGCTCTATTGTACATAATATTGACACATTCTTCTGATACCACAATAATCTAAAAGGCTTAACACAGATCACAGAATGGCCTTAGAGGTAATTCAGCCCAGCCCTGTGTACAACTAGGAATGTAGGACCTACAAGAGATGCTTTTCTAACTTCTGTTTCTATTTCAACCAAAGAAAATTCCATTCCATTCATGACCGTCTTCTTTCCTGCTAAGAAGTTTATCCCAATGTTTACTAGACTTGGGCAAAACTTTGAAGGCACAATGTCTTGCTTCACTGAAGGAATATCTGAAGTATCCTTTACAAGCTTAATGCTTTATAAAGTAACACGTTCCCTCTCTTCTAAAAGCAAAGTGAAGCAGTTACGTTGTTTTGCTTTAGCTCACTTCTGAGGGTTCCTTCTATGATTCCAAGAGATGGAAGAGGCTCCTGCCCCTTAGTTCAGGACTGTCAAACTCATGGCCTGCAGTCCGGATGTGTCACACGCTGGCCACTCCCATACTCGGTTTAGCAAAGGAGAAAAAAGTCATGATACATCACATGATGCCATTGTGACGACGTGAGTTTTACACCCCTCCCTTAGTCAGTCTCTTGATTTCACCTCGGGGAGGAAGTTGGTTGCAGTCTTGTTATGTGGAGTACTGGGGATCAGCTTCTTCAAGATACCTTTTCAGTTATTTGAAGATTGTGATAAGCATTGCTAAGTATGTTAGAGTTAGAAATTCTTTAGTGGATTTGTTTTTCCCCGATCATCCCAATCACTTATCTCTATGTATATTCTTCTTTTTGTCATTCATAAGATACGTCTAACACAAGACAGGACCCTCAAAGCAGCCTGACTAATGCAGAATAACAGGTGTCTATTCCAGTGATCTCGACTTTGCTTTTATTAACATAGCTTAAGATGGGAGATTAAGTATGTACATGTATATAGTTTTGGCTTGCATTCAGTTTATAATCTACTAAAATACCAAATCCTTCTCTATATACTGCTCCCAAGGCTTTTATCTTTTAAAATGACAAAAATGTGAAATGTATGTTTCAGAAGTAAGTTCCAGAATTTACTTCTTATTAAGTATGAAGGCTTTATCTGCTAAAGAAGAAGATCTGACAGTCATTTTCCCTATTTTGCCTGCCCTGGAGTACCATATCAACATTAAGATATAATACAAGAAATATGTATTTGATTTCCTCCACTGATTTTCTATACACTATATATATCAATGTTTCTCACCCTTAGCAAGCTAACTTGGAAATTCTGGGAGTTGAATTATATACCTCTTCAAGTTGCCAAGAGTGAGAAATGCTGCTGTAGATTCTTCTCAATGGTGGCCTCCAGATGTTTTTTATTATTTTATACCTATTTTTAATTATTTTATTTTTTATTTATATATATTATTATAACTATAATAAATAACTCAAGGCAGTGAACATATCCAACACACTTTCCTATTTTCCCCACATCAACAACTCTGTGAATTAAGCAGAGTGACTGGCCCAAAGTCACCCAGCTGGCTGCCAACTAAAAATACTTCTGTGGTCTTTTTAGTTGCCAGCAGAAAGGAAGTGGGGGAAAGTAGTGCATTTCTTAAATGCTTCAGATAATTGCTAGGCAGCTGAAGCTGTTGGCATGCAAGATTATTACAGGAGAGCATGATTGATGACTCTTAGCTAACGATGTGTCCCATTGGAGAATATACATCCAAGGGGTGAGGGGAAGACCAGGGTCAAGAGTGAAATGAATGATGTGTCTTAGAGTCAGCTGCTCCCAGGTAATGCCAACATGGTCACTCCTAATAAATATATATATTTTTTTACTCTGAGAGATATGGCTAGAGATGTATGATTTGAATGGGGTTGTATTGTTGGAGTCCTGACACTGGCTTTCATGGCCAAGACAGGACTTGAACTCAGACTCTTGCTTTCTAGCCTATGTCTTATCCATTAGACCAAACTTGTGCATAAGTAGCTGGAAATGAAACTAACCTAAGGAATCTCTTTCAAAATTTCAACTCCTTCCTCCATGATGTTAAACAAGTGTCCATTGATTCTTTTGTGATGGCATCATTGCCCTACCATTTCTTGGTGCTTATGAGAATCTGCTTTGATTAAGTATTGTCAACCTGCAAGCGTGGACCTACCACTGAGTATTGACAATAATGCCAATGTGGAAAACAGATTCTGTAACAAACCCAGATATCTAGTCTTTGCCCACATCTAAACCAACATATTCACAATAATCTGTGTCAAGAAGTACAATTAGGCAGACCTTTAAATGGCCTTTAACTTTGATCAAAATAATTAAGCCCTAAATCAAAGTCATCTGTTTTTTGTGTGTTTATATGATGCTCTAAATGATACTCCTCCCACACTGATGCAGATATAAGACAGAAAACAAAAAATAAGGGCTGGTAGTTGGAAGGGAAGGCAGTAGGGTGACAAAAGAAAGATACATTCTTTAATAGATGCTATTATTTCCTGAAAGTCTACCTCTTTTTGTACAGAAATATTTATTACTGTTTTTCAGGGTCAATAAATCTTGAAAACCATCTGATATATATATCATATATATATCATATATATATATATATTATACATACATACACACACACACATACATACATACATACATACATATATACATATCTATCTATCTATATACATACATACATATATATATATATACACACATACAGGTGTCTTGGTGTGTTCGGGTCTTTTCCTGTGTATGATTGAGAGCATCTTGGCAACATTTTGATGAGGTTCCACTCGCCATCTTCAGGCTGGTGCTTTTGGCTTTGTGCTGTGTTTGCACAAGCATGAAGCCAAAAACACCAGCCTGAAGATGGCGAGTGGGACTTCGTCGAAACGTTGCCAAGTTGCTCTCAATCATACACAGGAAAAGACTCGAACACACCAAGACCTGTATGTATGTATTTATGTATGTATGTATGTATGTATATAGATAGATAGATAGATAGATAGATAGATAGATAGATAGATAGATAGATAGATAGATAGATAGATCTTTGGTTGTTCGGGTTTTCTCCCGCGTAAGATTCGAAGTATCTAGGCAACGCGGGAGAAAACCCGAACAACCAAAGATCCACATACAAATACCCGCGAGAACCTCAGAAAACATATATGTGTGTGTGTGTGTGTGTGTGTGTATGTATATGTATATATTCGTAGATTTTCACGGGTACAGGTATGTAGGTCTAGGTGTGTTGGGGTGTTTTCCCGTGTAAGATTAAGAGTATCTTGGCAACGTTTCAGCGAGGTTCCAGTCACCATCCTCTGGATGGTGCTTTCGGCTTTGTGCCAGTGCAAGCAGTTGCCAGCAGAAAGTGCACTGCTTGCACTGGCACAAAGCCGAAAGCACCATCCTGAGGATGGCGAGTGGGACCTCGCTGAAACGTTGCCAAGATACTCTTAATCTTACACGGGAAAATACCCGAACACACCTAGACCTACACACACACACACACACATATACATACATATATACATACATACACACACACACACACACACAGAGCTTTCTGTCTTTGATGAAAGATGGGGGATGGGTAACTCCTAGTATTTGCACATACTTGATAGTCATAATGTTGGCTGGAGAAGTTGAGTCATTTTGTTGTAAAGCTATCAGTATGTGTTCATTTGAAGCATGACCTCTGCTCTGAGTAACAGATTAGATTATTGCTTCATAAGTTGCTTTACAAAATGTATTTCCTAATAACTTTAAAAAAAAACTTAAATGATTTTGAACAAAAATGGAATGCACTTGGACCTCCATTATGGGGCTTTCTTGCATTTGGTCTTGGTTTCTGGTGTGTTCCCTTTCCCACCTCCCTTTTTATACTCAAA